TATATATAGTATATTAAACTTATAATATTATAAAGTATAAGGGTTGAATTTTAACTTTTAAAACTCTAGGGATTGGAATTAAAGTTTCATTAGTGTGACTTTACAAATTCCAAAACTTGAGGGCAAGCTTTGAAACTTGTCAAAACTCTTCACATTCATAACTTATGAGTTTAATTGGATTTTAAGTTATGAGACCTTTCATTTTCCATAACTTGAGGAAAAGTTATGGAGGTCATTAAAATTCATCTAGATAATATTTATAACAACTAAAATTATCACATAATCTATGATCTAACTAAACTCATAATCAAGATAATTTCTAGTCAACAATCTGAAAGCAATTTTATTTATCGTATAAAAACAACAATTATTTTAAAACTTTGACAATTATCTTCTAGTTGGATGAGTACAAGCACTACCATATCATAAAAAACATTTCCAATGATCCAAAACAGTTTGTGGTAGTGTTCTCAATCCAAACCAGGCCAAGAAACTCGAAATTCTTCAAACAGAGCCTACAACTCGTCGAGTACATGAACTGGACTCGGCGAGTTGCTCTGTTACTGAGTGGACTCGTCGAGTTTGTTCATCTACTTGGCGAGTTCACCAGTCAGAGGCCAAAATTTCGATTTTTTCAGCTTTGAAAACCTAGTAAGCATCAAATATAATATAAAACAATCCTAGGCTCTGATACCACTGCTAGGTTTTGACCACTATAACACTCCTATGGTACACATGCAACCCTAAATGCTTTGGATCTATGTTTTCTCTATTATACATGCATATTTTCAATTTTCCAAAATCCTCGCCATCGATAGCGACATTCCAATCCATCTGTCAACCACTCAGCTTCCAACTATAATCCTCAAGCCGATCATAACAATCGTTTCCTTCTTGAGTCCCGCAACTCAAATGCACGGCCTCGAGCAAGGCCTTCAAGACCTCAAAACCAATAAAACTCACTTAGGTCTGCACCATTCAAACCCAAACTAACATCGCCATTGATGCCCAAAACAATTACCAGACCCATCCTCATGCTTGAGCAACCATAACCAAAAGATCGACAGATATAGAACCACTGCCACGAATCATGGTATCAAACCATGCTATCTTCCCCGACCAACTCCTTAGAATCCCGATAAATTTTCGTGATTGGAGTATGGATCTTGTGCTTCTAGTAGTATGGGCCCAATTCTCCTTCCACACCTATCCATACTTTCCTCAAGAATCATCTCGGGTCCTCTAAGTCACCTCCCATAATAATACTCCCAATACCTACTCAACAGTGTAGCAACGAAACTAAAATACTTCCTAGGCTCTCCTAGGATTCCCCACCTCCTCTGCTATCAGCTGCTGAACGACCCCCATTGGTGGCAGTTAACTACTGCATGAATACAATCACATGCAACATAACCTAAATAATTCGAGATTAAAATATTCAACCCTACAACGGTTGGACTCAGACAAGAGCCGCGTAATAGGACCAAACCCTTCACTCTAAGATTATTTAACCCATACAACATGTGACTTAGTGTATTCAATTAATATTAAATTTACACCCGAAAGAGTCATCTAACAACGAGCAAGAATACTCTATAGGAAATAGGGCATCATACATCAGGCATTTCTATGATGCAATTTCTGAAAATCCATATCCTACAACTAGCATGTTGTTCTACGATAAACATAATAACAGATAAAAATGTTGTAATTTGGGGTCTACTTACTGGCTCCGACTGATCGTACACATCACATCATTTCTTGATTATTTTTGAAAAAATATTTGAAAATCATTTTTAAAACCATTGCAGTTCCTTAGTTTGATCCTAGATTCACATGGATGTTCCTCTAATTCGCTCTAACCAAGGCTCTGATACCAACTTGTAACGCGTCAAAAATCACAACCAATTTAAACTTTTTAAAACAACATATTTACTATTGAAAGTGTTTACAAAACCATTAATTCCAAAATATTATTTAAAATCAGAGTTTCCCAAAATCAACAACATAAAATCAGGATGTGTATGGTAATACCTTCGCCCTCCCATGATCCTTGGAAGTACCTGAAACCATAACCCAAAAAATGTAAGTCAACGCTTAGTGAGTCTCCCCCAAAGTATCACAACATAAACATAACAAACACCAGCATGCATAAACGAGCCTTCAACTTGACTGGACTGCCTCGCAGGGCCTTCAGCCTATCTGGACCGCTCCCAAGCCTTCGACATGACTGAAGCGCCTCACAGGGCCTATGCCTATCCGGACTGCTCATCGTGCCTGCGGCCTGACTAGACCGCGTCGCAGAGCCTACATTCTATTCGGACAGCCCTGGGTATCTTGGCCTTCAGTACAAAGCAGGACCGCCTCAACCTAACCACACGTAACATGTCGACATATACATAACCGATAAACATATAACCAGTCAATAGATAAATAGACAAATCTACAGATCACTACCGCTTGCTACATCCTATATACCAGGATACAGATCTAACAGATCACTACAACATAACAACATCCTATATACCGGGATATAGATCTAACAGATCACTACAACATAGACACATACGGTAAACCAGGATATGAATCCTAAGGGCCGGCCTTGGTGCCTTCGACCCGTAAGTACATTGAGGAAAACTCATCTCTCAATTTGAATAGTAGCTGATGAGGTCCCGACTTCAAATCTCAGCTCTAACCATCACCTATCCATCCAAATGACCAATTCTCAAACACAATCGAAAATACCCAAAATACCCCTAGTTAAAACTTGGTCAACCCTGGTCAAAGTCAAATTCAAAGGTCTAGGTCCCAAAAGTCAATATCCCTTCCCAGCGGAGTACGCCTTGCATACCAAGAGAGTACGGCCATCGTACTCATATGTTGACCAAAAAGCAGGGTGCTGACCGTGTATGCACAACGTACCTCCACATAGGCCCGGAGTACGCAGCCCAGACGCAAAACTCCATTAAGAGCTTACTCCATTAATCCCTTTCATCCGAAACTCAGATCCAAGCCCAAAAAGGAACCAATGGCTACAACGAGCTCCTTGACCAACTACTTCCTACTACGAGACAACTCGTGAATCTCTTGAATACATACATCCGATAGCCACTTACTCTACACCCCTGACTTGACCAAACCTTGTACTAGAATCCCGCATACCCGCACCGCAGATCCCTATGAACCATTCTTCCAACACCACAAACTCGAACAGATCGATGATCCTCCAAGCAGAATACCTAGTTCTCCCCCACTTAGGGTTCAAACTATCACCCAATGGTGTTCTAACCAACCGTATCTCAAACCGGCTCAACCAAGTACAAACCATCACTGAATCTAGGATGGTGTAACACACGCAAGATGATCTTCCAGATAAGGACCAAGCGGACCCTAAGAGATTCTGAATTTCAGATGAAGACCTCAGAAATTTTCCAATCTTAACCACGTTTAACACTAAGGATTTCATGCAAATGCATAAGCAAAACACCGACTTACTATGCAAAACATACACCCTTTGCCTGCAATCCCAATCGTCAACCCGATACCTGACCTGCCTATATCCAAAGAAAACAGACCCTTAATCACATCACTATGCATCCATACCACATTAATCTTCCTGTGCATTCCCATGCTATCATACTGTCTCCAAACACCATAGCCAACTAGCCCCCATGTTGGTTTACATCCCAATTCTGAAAGTTACAAGCCTGCTTACTCCTTCTCAGAAAACTATCATGACATAATCCTCGTCATAGATAGCGACATTCCAATTCATCTGTCAAACACTCAGCTTCCAACTGTAATCCTCAAGCCGATCATAACAATTGTTTCCTTCTTGAGTCCCGAGACTCAAATGCACGGCCTCGAGCAATTCCTTCGAGACCTCAAAACCAACAAATTCACCTAGGTCTGTGCCATTCAAACCCAAAATGACATCGCCACTGAGGACCAAAACAATTACCAGACGCATCCTCATTCTTGAACAACCATAATCAAAAGATTGACATATATGGAACCACTGAGGCTCATAACAAAGTCACAGACTTTCAAGATCTAAACTTTATGCACTTAAAGTGACCAAAAGCTCATAACACCCAAAACTAGCTAGATCTAACAATTTCATCATCAAGATTCAAACTTTATACCTCTAGAAGAAAGTTCAAGGTGAACAAAGTATGGATCTACATGATCCAATGCAACCAACACTTCTTCAATGAGTTCCTTCTTCTCCAAGGTGCACCAAGAACACTCCAAAGCACTTAAAAACACCTTCTTTTTGCTCACAAGGCTCAATCTAGGGTTAGGGTTTCATGAGAGGGTGTTGGAGAGGTGGAGGCTGAGAATGGAATGAGTTTGGGGGAGTTAAGGAGCTTAATTAGGGCTCAAACCACGAAAATAGGGTATGGGAATTGATCACATACTCCCAACATACTCAATTTACGTGCAACGTACTAGGGATGCCCTACTACGCCCAGCGTACACATTGAGTACGCCCAGCGTATACGGCTCAACCTAAAACCGCCTAACTTCAAACAACCATAACTTCTTTGTTCCAACTCTGTTTTCGACGTTCTTTATGTCTACGAAAAGGTGTTGAAGAGCTCTACAATATTATGTGAATATCTTGGACTCAAAAAATTCTCAAAGAAAAATCCATATTTCACGCAAGAACCTGGACTATGACTTTTCCCTTTCTACCTTCGGCCTAGAACACAATTCAAGGGTATAAATCTCTTAACTATCATTACCTCATTCCAAAAGGACTGAACTTTGCCTCTTTAAGGCCCAAAACCTCACACAATTGACTTCCGGTCCATGGCTCAGAAATAGAAGGAAGCAGGATGTTACATATACAAACCCATAAATCGATTTTGTAGTATGACATCCCCACACCAACGGTCTTTCCAAAATTTAATTTTGGTGTTAGAATTTGCATTGAGAGAGAATGGGTGCCAGTCGAAGTCATATTCTATGATCCCCACTATTTATGACTTGTTGTTTTATGAACACGTCGCCTCCCTATTTATGGGAGTGTTTGTGGTGGTTAGAATACAAGCAATACCATATAATAAGTCAAGATGTACCCAATTGTTGCCTTCTACTTGTAAGGTTTTACCAAAAGTGTTTGCAGTGCTAGTGTAGTTCTCCTTAGCACGTAGAAATATGGGGACGCCCGGGTTCTTTATCCAGGCTATCCTTTCAAGATTATGCTCCTCTAAGATACTCATCCTGAGCCAATTGAACCATTTACTCCAATTGTGTTCTCCATTAAGAAAATTGACTTCAACTTCTAATAGCTTTTGTATTTCTACGAGATGATGGAGACTGATGGCTTCACCGATCAGAGTTGATTTGTTCCATCCATCCATCGCTAGTAATTTCTTGAGAGCATTGGTGTTCAGTGCCTTGTTGGTCATGCGAGACACATTTCTCTTTACCCCCACTTCCTCTGTAAAAGATTTTCCATCATAATTTCCTCCCCAAATGTAACAACCCGTTATTTTTCAAGCCAATAAAAGTCAAACCCTTTAAACAAAATTTGAATTTTATTTATACTATTAAGATCTTAAGGGTAAATATGATTTAAATTATATAAATGATGTTTTTATATAAGTATTTGGAATAAAATACGCTGAAAAATCAAGGATTTTTCCTTTGGAACCGAGAACTGTAATGACCTAATTTTTCAAAACAAAACTTTCATTTGTAATTATCCAAAATGCATGTTTACCATCCACAAAACCAGTTACAATTGTTTTCAAAACATATCAATTACAACTTTGTGTTAAAACATCAGAGTGTCCCGTAACATAATAATGAGAGATAGAGTGCACGCCGCGCCATCAAGCCTTGCCTTTGCCCTTGGGCTCAGTACCTGAAACAAATCCACAAACTGTAAGCGAAAGCTTAATGAGTTCCCCAGAACATACCACACATGCAATTCAAATATCATATATCATACTAGCCCTAAGGTTACATACATCACATAAGTCATGCATACAGCCGATAAGGATGTCGTGGGCTCGTCCCCAGGGTCTTACTCCAGGATGCCATGGGCTCTCCGCATGGTCTTACACCTAAGTGCCATGGGCTCTCCCATGGTCTTTGATAGGAAAGCAATGGGCTCTCCACATGGTCTTACATCCAAGTCTCATGGGCTCTCCCATGGTCTTCCATACAACATACCACATATATCAAAGCATACTTCCTAGTTCATACCAACTAACATGTCACATAATACAATCTCAGCTAGGATACTACACATCATAAAATGGGCCGGCCTTGGTGCCTTAGACCCATTGGTATGGTGAGGAGACTCACCTATGTCTGCTGAATACAACGCTATTCTCGTAAAAGTCCGTAACCTCCCGTGCTGAATAATAATATTAAACAATGTTAAGACTTTAATTGATCAAAGGAAACCCAAACTCCAAACCCTTCCATAAGGTCCAATTATCCATCCCTTGCTAATGGGCCTAAAGTCCAAGTCCAAAATCCTTAATGGGCCTCTTGGCCTAATAAGGCCCAATCAATATGTCCATGGCCCATAACCGATGATATGACTCATAATTCCCAGAAAACAACCATGCCTAATAATCAAATGAGGCCCAATAGCTCCAAGGCCCAAAACAGATTCGGCCTAACTGTGATGCGTACGCTCGGCGTACCATCCCGGTACGCGCAGCGTACTGGGGTCTTGGGACTATGCGAGGCGTACACTGGGTTACGCCCAACGTACAACCAGTTTAAGCACTTTCTCTATTAAGTGCTTAATACTTGTTTCCTTTACATCCAAAAGCCAGATCTAAGTTTGTTAAGACGTCCTAAGGCATAAAGTTGGCAACTTTATGCCTTTCCATGCCTCATAAACACCCAACACTTCCATTAAGACCTTTCCAAGGTCTTTAACCCATGCATGAGGCCAAAACTCCCATCAAGACTCAATTTTTATGGTTCTAAAGGACCAAGGGACCTCAGATCTGTCATTCCAATCCTTTGGAGTTGCTTAGCTCACAATAGGAGGTCCAAAACCAACCAAAGGGACAAAACTAGAAAACCCTAGCTAGATCTATTGATTTAAATGGAAAGGTGCAAGCTTTATACCTCCAGAAACTCCTCAAGGTCGACAATATGCGGGTTCTTGAAGCCAAATGACACTCCAATCTTCCTTGACAACTTCTTCTTTTTGGATGAACACTAAAAGGACAAAAAATGCACTATTGAAGCTCAAAATGCACTCACAAATGATATTAGGGTTTTCAGAGGCGTTTGAAGGTGAAGGAGGTTGTTAAGGGTGAGGATCAAAAGAGTTAAGGGTGTTTATATAGGTCTCAAGTCCGGATTTTAGGGTTTGAACATCCTGGCACGTACGCCCAGCGTACGTGCTGCCTCTCCGCGATCCTCCTTGCCAAGTATGCTAAGCGTACTCATAAGTACGCCCAACGTACTTAGGGGTCTCTTATGATATAATAGAAATACTTCAAGGGTTACAAGGTCATACCTGATTTGGAGTGTTACAACTCTCCCCCACTTGAACTAGACTTCGTCCTCGAAGTCCATAGCTGCGAATAGATCGGGATAATGCTCCCGCATCTCCTCCTCCGACTCCCAAGTCCTTTCGGAGCCCCTTCGGTGCTGCCATTGCACCTTCACTAGTTTCACCTCCTTGTTCCGAAGACCCTTCGTCTTCCTATCTAAGATGGCAACTGGCCTCTCGATGTAGTTCAGGCTCCCATCCACCTGAATATCTAGATTCGAACGCCGTCGGTCAACATAACTCTTCTGACGGCTCTACACGACTCGCAACCGGTCATGCACCTGCTGAATCAATCCGATAGTCTTGAGCACTACCTGAGTGCTCCCCATGACCCGATGCCCAACCTCTTCCCAACACACTGGGATCCTGCACCTCCGACCATATAACATCTCCAATGGGGCTCGGTCAATACTAGCATGATAACTATTATTGTATGAGAACTCTGCCAGTGGGAGGTATGTATCCCAACTCCCTCCAAAATCTAGAACGCAGGATCGAAGCATGTCCTCCAGCTTCTGGATCGTCCTCTCACTCTGTCCGTCAGTCTGAGGGTGGTACGCCGTACTGATATGTAGCTGAGTGCCCAGTTCGTCGTGGAACTTCTTCCAGAATCTGGATGTAAACCGGACATCCCTGTCAAAGACTACCGACCCTGGCACCCCGTGCCTAGCCACCACTTCTCGTACATAAATATCCGCCAACTTTTCTGCGGATATGCTCTCGGAAATCTGAATGAAGTGGGCACTCTTCGTCAGTCTGTCTACGATCACCCATATGGCATCCACACCCCTCCGATGGTATCTCGACCGAAGATCAATCTTGGAAAACCATGACGCACCCTGCAGCTGATCGAACAAATCATCGATCCTTGGCAACGAATAACGGTTCTTCACCGTTAGTTTGTTCAGCTCCCTATAATCAATGCACATCCTGTGCGATCAATCCTTCTTTTTCACAAAAAGAATCGGTGCTCCCCACGGGGAACTGCTCGGACAAATGAACCCTCGCTCTAGCAGCTCCTGAAGCTGCATAGATAGTTCCTGCATCTCCGGTGGTGCCAACCGGTAGGGTGCCTTTGCTATCGGAGCGGCACCCGGCACCAAGTCAATGCGAAATTCCACCTGCCTCTCCGGAGGCACTCCTGGTAACTCTTCGGGGAAAACATCCCGAAACTCCTGTACCACAGGCACACTGCCCACATCCGTCACGGTCTCTACTCTCGTATCCGAGACATAAGCCAGAATTCCCGTGCAACCCTGCTGTAAAAACCTCCTAACCCTCGCAGCCAAACAGAGGGTCGGCCCCTACGAAGCCCTCTCACCATGAATAACCAGTTCTCCCCCACTTGGGGTTTGAACCCTAATCAACTGGCGCTCGCAATCAATCATGGCCCCGTTGGCCCCCAGCCAATCCATCCCGACAATCACCTTCAGCCCTCGCAACGGTATCAGGACTAGGTCGACACGAAGCCTCTCTCCAAGCACATTCAGGACACAGTCCCGATACACCCTCGCGACACTAACGGTGCGGTCATCTGCAATCTCTACCTCGAGTGGGGAATCCAGAGCTTCGGGCGCGTCCCGAAACTTCTTGCTAAGCGCAAGAGATACGAACGATTGGGTGGCACCCGAATCAAACAAACATGTGCCGACATACCATTGACCAAAAAGGTCCCTATACAAGCATAATATAAATATAAGTCATACAAATCATAATGAGTAGGGAATAATAGATACGTACCAGCCACAACGTCTGGTGCTGCCCGAGCCTCCTCGGTGGTAAACTGAAATGCGCGGCTCTTCACCGCCGGAACCTCCGCCTTGGCAGGGCGGCCATTGGTAATCCTCAACGTGGAGGGCGCAGGCGCCGCCACCGCTCCTCCCCCTCCTTGCAACGTCGGACAATCGGCCCGCTTGGGGCTGGTCTGGTTGCAGTGGAAGCAAATCAAGCCCTTCTTGGGGCAATCCCTGATCACGTGGCCTGATTGGCCACAAGCATAGCATCCCGAGCCCGCCCCCCGGCAAGCCCCACTGTGCGGTTTACCGCACTTGGCACACTGGCCACGACCCTGTTGGCCCTTGCTGGAAGTGTCTGATGTCTTAGGCTTTTTAGCCTGACCTACCGCCGCCTGTGCCTGCTCCGGCTTCCGCTTGGTGCGGAAGTCCAACTCCATTTCCCGCTCACGGGCCTTCTCCACCATGTCATTCAGGGTTTTGCACCCTGTAAAGCTCACAAACTCATGGATATCATCCCTCAGCATGGAATGATATCTCGTCTGCCTCATATCCTCATCCGTAGCGTAATGTGGGATCAACAAAGCTCGTTCCCGAAACTTGGCAGTGATCTCCGCCACAGTCTCGGTGGTCTGCTGAAGGTCATGAAACTCCCTCACAAGTCGTTGCACCTCACAATCATTGCTTAGCATTCTAAGTTTAAGTCTAGAAATAAATCTGTATTCCTAGTTCGCTTAAACTAATGCTCTGATACCAACTGTGACATTCCCATTTTCATGGCCAGAAAAGACCGATTTTGTTTATGCTTTATAAAAATCAGAGTACCTCTTTTAAAAAAAATGTTGCGGAATTTGTTCCCAGTAAAACATGATAAATATGTTATCAAAACATTTCCGAAGAAAATTATTTTTATTCATTTTAAAACATTTTGGGATGTCATCGTCAATACAGAAACATAAGCATAAACAGAACTTACATTCACTTACACTAGTGATCTACACCTCTTTAATCTCTCGGTGTAATGTAACTTCATATCGGCACCTGCGATACAAATAAACTGAGTGGGTCAGGTTGGGAAACCTGGTGAGTACATAGGGTTTTCAACCCACAATAATATAATTATTATGTTTAATCATCAAACAGTTAA